CGACGGCGAGCGAGCCCGAGAGACCGCTCAACTCGGCCCCATCACCAACACCACTGAGGCCGAGCGACGCAGGCGATGGCTGGAGGCCCCGCCAGAGGTCAGGAAGGCCATCCGCCAGCTCCACGTCAACTTCCACCACTGTTCGAGCGTGACGCTGACCAGGCTGCTAAGGCGCCGAGGAGTCAAGCCGGAGGTGCTGAAATACGTGGAGTTCTTTTCCTGCGACGCCTGTGGCGACGCCGTCCGTCGGCGCGCCCCACGACCTTCGCGGTTGCCAGGTCAGTGCGTGTTCAACTACGCCATCCAGCTGGACACCTTCCACGCCTACGACGCCGCCGGGACCCCCTACTTCTTTATGAACTGCATCTGCGAGGGGACGAACTTTCAAGTCGTGTACTGCATGGGCCCGGCTCGTGGATCACCGACAGCACGTGCCACTACTAAGGCGTTCACTACCAGCTGGACCCCGTGGGCTGGCTACCCAGAGAAGCTCACGGTGGACCTGGGCAAGGGGTGGATGAAGGATTTCGCCTCCAACGCGAAGGCGCATGGCGTGCAGGTCGACCTGGCCCCGTTGGAGACGCCGCACCTCATCGGCAAGTGCGAGCGCCACGGGGGCATTTGGAAGGAGATCTGGCGACGTACTGTCGCCGACTCGCAGGTCACAGGACTGGACGACGTTGAGGAGACTGCCTCCATCGTGACCCAGGTCAAGAACGAGCTGGGCCGACGCGGGGGGTTCTCCCCCTCGCAGTGGGTCTTGGGGTCTCATGGGCCCCGTGTCCCAGGAAGCCTCCTACAAGACGACGAGGCGCAGCGGTTGGAGGTCATCGAGGCGTCGCTCGACCCCCAGTCTGCCATGGCCCGCGCCATGGCCCTGCGCGAGGCGGCCAGCATCGCACACGTCCGCCTCGACTCCGACGACCGCGTCAAGCGCGCCATCCTGCGCAAGGCGCGGCCTAGCCGAGGCCCTTTCAACATTGGGGCCATCGTGTACTTCCGCCGGTCGCAGACCCGAGTCGGCGAGAGCCCCGAGGTCACGCACCGCTGGTTTGGGCCAGCCCGGGTTATCGGGCATGAAGTGCGTGACCCCCGTCACCTCTCTCGCGACACGGACGAGCCCCTCGGCGCGCTGGCCCATGCAGTGTGGCTGCGTTACGGACACACTACCGTGCTCGCAGCTCCTGAGTCGCTCAGGTTCGCCTCCGAGGACGAGCTGCTCGCCATGCACACCTACGCGAACCCAGACCTGTTGTCCCTTCGGTCACTGAAGGGGGCCAGGCACTACATCGACATCCGGGCCGATACACCAGCAGCCTCGCCCGCCCCGATGCCCAGGCCGCAACAGCACGCGGCTGGTCACGGAGGGGTGGTTGGGGGCGCGCTCGGATCTGCCGGACCAGGACCTGACGTAAATTTCGATTTCGACGAGTTCAACACCGAGGACCATCTACCACAGCAGCGGGTCGATCCTCCACCGCCGGCACACGAAGTACCACAACAAGCATCTCCAATCATTCAGGAGACCGACGACGCACTACTACCACCGCCAGCTCAGCATCAGCCACCTCCTGTGGTCCCTGAGCCACCACGCCCGGGGCTACCAGAGGCAGAGGGGCCGCCGCGCTCGTGCGGCCCAGGCGAGCCCAGCATTCATTCCGAAGTTCAAGGTCATCGGATCGATCCTCGAATATCTCAGGAGGCTATCGACAAGCCGGTGCCCCCGGATGACGAGGCTGTCGACAAGCCGGCGCCGGGCGACGAGATGGGCGTGGGCCTGGAGCGCGGGGAGAAGCGCGGAGGCCTGTCACTTACCCAGCTGGACAGAGCCATGCGCGATCTGGAGCGTCTGGATCGGGGTTCCATCAAGAAGCCTCGTACCTTCCAGGGCTACGTGGAGGAGGAGCTCAGCGTCATGGAGGATGCCCTCCACGAAGTGTTCCTCACCAGCGACTACAAGCCGGACCTGGCTGTCGCCTACGAGTGGCGTCGCACCGACTACGGCATCAAGAAGTTCATCACTACGGACAAGCGTGGCCCTCGCTGGTCCAAGGTGCTTCGCCGCATCACCAGAGACATCAAGACAGGCATCGTGATCGATGACATCGACGTCAGAGGTCTTGCTCTTCACGATGCTCGCCTTCGTCGGCTTCTGCCTGGTGGCACCACCGCGGTCGAGACCATCTTCGTTCGCACCGACGAGGACGTGGGCACGAACGACACAGTCGAGTTCGCCTATCTCACCAAGGGCGCGGTCCGCTCCGAGATCAGACTTCAAGACCTCGCCTCAGAGCAGAGGAAGGAGTTCGATCAGGCTATGGCCAAGGAGTGGCGCAGCTGGACTGAGTTCCAGGCCTTCGAGGTGCTGAGCTTTAGCCAGGCCAAGGAGCTCCTCGACAGGGGCGCCTCCCCAGTTGGGACGCGCTGGGTCCACACGGGCAAGAACGCTAAGAAGCGCAACCTCAAGCAGACCTACGACGACATCCCGCTCGCTGCCAAGAGTCGGCTCGTCGTGCAGGGCTGCCAGGAACGAGGAGATGATATCCGAGGCGACGCTCCTACTGCTTTTGGCTTTCCACCTGGTCGCCAGCTACGCTGCCTCCCACCGGTGGCAGATAAGGGCAGCTGACGCTGCGACGGCCTACCTGCAGTCCAAGGGCATTGAGCGCATCCTGCTTCTTCGAGCCCCTCGTCCTCCACCACCAGGAGTTCCGGAGGGGTCCTACATGCGCGCCCGCGGCGCAATCTACGGCACCAAGGACGCGGGCAGGCAGTGGTGGCTGCATCTGCGCGCCATCCTCGTGGAGCAGGGTTGGCGCGAGTCCATCTACGAGCCCTGTCTGTTCATGCTCAGGGGCAGCAAGGGCAAGCTCAACGGCTTGCTGTGCACGCACGTCGACGACCTCTTCGTCACGGGCGCGGGCGAGCAGTTCGAGCGCGTGATGGAGATCATCAAGGACAAGATTCGCCTTTCCTTCCAGTCCGACACGTTCAGGTACTGTGGCAAGGTCGTGGAGCAGGACAACCAGACTTTCGACATCAAGATCGGACAGGCCGCCACGGTCGAGGCGCTGGAGTACATCACCCTCGAGCCGCACCGCCGGCGCAAGCCCAATGCACCACTCACCCCGGAGGAGATTTCTGCCCTCCGTAGCGGTGTTGGGTCGCTTGGCTGGGTAGCACGGCAGACGCGCCCCGACCTGGCCGTCCACGCTTCACTTGGGGCTCATGCCATGCGTGGCCCCAAGATTCGTGACATTGTTGCAGTGAATCGTGCCATCAAGATGGCTAAGGGCGACGTTGCTTTCAAGCTGATGTTTTCATCCCGCCTGGACTGGGACAGTGCCATCGTGTTCGGCTGCGGGGACAGCAGCCATGGCAACATTGACGACCTTACGCTAGGAGAGAAGGTCAACTCGCAGTGCGGCTATATTATCGGCATGGCGTCGCCCGACCTCGAGACGGACGCCACCGCGATCATACATCCACTGGAATGGGCTAGCGCGACGATCAAGCGAGTGGTTCGTGGATCGCTAGCGGCTGAATGCAACGGTTTCTTGACGACAGCTGAGAGTGCGGAGTTCCTCAAGCACGCGATTGCCTAGATATCCGACCCCGGCTACTCATCCTACCAGTTCGACCCGTTTTTCGATGGCAAGCATCTGCTACTGCTGACGGACGCGAATGGCCTTGTCACCTCCCTGGAGAAGGATGGTGGTCAGCCCGCTGACAAGCGAGTACGGATCCTGATGGCCCAGATCCGACAGCTGCTCGGCCATGACATGCTGAAGCAGGAGCGAGAGGGAGATGACTGGAGGATACGTGTCAGGTGGATCGACACGAAGCTGATGATCGCGGACTCTTTGACGAAGGCCGAGGCTGAGAGGAGTTTCTTGCTAGAGCGGCTGTCTGAGGGCCGCTGGTGTTTAGCGCAGACGAAGGAGATGCTCGCTGCTAAGGCAGCGGCAGGCGAGGCGCGCCGAACCCGCAAGGCCCGGCCTGGCAATGCGGAGGGGTAGTCCTCCGGTTTTCGTTTCCCCCCTTCTCCTCCTCTGCCTCCTCTCCCTCGTACCGTTTGGTTTGCATCCATATTGTTTATGCCCTGTGGTTTCATAGTTCCATATTTGCACGCCTGTTTAGGCACCGCTCTGCCGATTTTTGGAGATTTTCCTATTGAAGGCAGTGGATTTCATTATATCATTTGTTTTCTCATCTGTCTAATGAAGCTTAGCCCCCGCACTGTTTTTGGGGTCCGGACAAAGGTCCGCCACCTTTTTGGTCTCCGATTCCCCCGCCTTCCAAGATTGTGCCCGACGAGGACAAGCCTCGATGGTCACGGAGGGGTGTCAGAGATTCAGGGATTTAGCAGGCGTGCGTGTGTAGTATCTGTGTTTATCTTGATTGTTACAGCAGCGCACGCGTACACAGGGCGCCCTTTTAGGATCAAGGGTATTAAAGCATCCTTATCATCGATCCCCGCCCGCCTGGGCGGACTCTCAGGGAATAACTAGGACGAGGTAGGCTGAGGAGAAGGAACATAGGGAAGAGAGGCGAACAAGGCTGATGGTCATCGTATGCGAGTGGGCGAGGTGCCGAGCAGACGACGATGGAGACGATCGCTGTCGCTCCATAATGGGTCGAGAACTGCGGCAACGGGCATGATGCGAGTGCCGATCGCAAGGGCAGGAAACCAGTGCCACGTCACGCAGCCGCGATCCCTGACGGCTCGCGTTTGGCTGCGGGCGACGCAGGGAGCATGACGTGGCACCAGTTTAGAATAACACGCAGCTTCATAAGAAAGAGCAAAGTTCGGAGGTCCGCGCGGATTTCTTGGGTCGACGCTGGACTCCTCTCCCCGCACCCCTTCCCCAGCGCACAGAGCGCGCCAGGGGGGGCGGGGATGGGGACCGTGTCCGAGAGCGTCCGCGACACGCAAGCGCACAAGAAGCGGCAACAAGGAAGGGTGCGGGGCCCCCCTGCCCCAGATCGCTCATTCCGAGCCCGACCCCCAGCGCCGATCCAAAAAATCCGCGAGGATGTCTGAAAACGTATGTTTATGCGGTATGTCGCTTCTCGTCTTCTCATAGTGCTTGTGGTAGTCGAGGGCCTCGGCGAGCAGCAACGGCATTGCGCCACTGCATGGAGCGCGTCTGGTCCTCGCTTCCGCACACCAGAACGAGCAGTATCTCACAGATGCGGCCCTCCAAAGGCCGCAGTGGGAGCCCGCGCGCCAATGCACCGGGTCGTCGAAGGGGACCTCCACTGGGCTGGAGATGACGACGGGATCACGGCTCGCGCCTGCCTTCTAGCGACGCGATCAGCATGACGTGGAATCGGCCTTGGTGGTCATCCAGGGCCTCGGCGAGAAGCGGCAGGTGTCGCTGCAAGGCCAGCTCTGGCCCCTCAGGGTTCGCGCCTATGGGCCTAGCTGCCAGCGACGCAAGCAGCATGATGTGGAACCGACTTGTGCGAGTACCGGCAGGTGCCGCTGCATGGCCGGCTCCGACCCCTCACGGCTCGCGCCTAGCTGCCAGCGACGCAAGCAGCATGACGTGGAACCGACTGTGGTGGTAGTCCAAGGCCTCAGCGAGCAGCGGGAGGTGCCGCTGCATGGAGCGCACCTGTGTCTCGCCGATCCGCGACAGCAGCTCTGGCAGCTCGCGGATCTGGCCCTCCAGAACCCGCAAGGATCCCTCGCGCCAATCCACCAAGTCGTCGAAGGGGACCTCCACCCGATTGGAGATGACCACCGGGATGCACCCCTTGCAGAAGAGCAGCAAACAATGCACACACACACACACTCGTTCCGAGGTCCGCGCTGATTTCCTGGACAGGTGCTGGACCCCCGTCCACACCCCGTCAACAGCGAGCGGGCAGCGCCTCTGGCGCCCCCCAGGGGGGGCGGGGAGAGGCCGACGCACACACACACACACACACAAACCACACACACACACATGCGCGCACACACACGCACACACACACACACATACACACCACGCAGACACACGCAGACACACACAGGAAAGATGAAGGAGAGAAGGGCCGAGCCCCCAAACGTACGTTGGCAGCGCACATCGCGCACGCTGCGGACAAATCAGAACTGTCAGACAGAGGAATCAAGTAACACCACCAATCGACCTCAAGATAGTGATCAGACGACACGGAAGACGAACTACGGCACAGCGCCGACCCGAGAAATGCGAGCGGACCTCCCAAAGTCTATGTTCATGTCTGTTCTTCGACCTTGGCTATGACCGCGGGGAGGCGCATGGTCGCCGGCCAGTGACCATCGGGCACCAGGCAGAACACGGCCCTCCGGGCAAGGCGGTCGAAGGCCGCCTCTGGAAGGGGCCGCGGCGACACCACGAGCCCTTGCAGCCGCGCGTCGTCATTGTCCCACCTGGGATACACAGAAAAATAAGCTTTACGCACGAAGATCCAAGGACCGTATGAAGCGGCTCACGCGGGTCGCCAGCGCGGAACACCGCGTGGGGAAGGGGGCAGTCATGCGCGGCCTTACGCGGGCAACTTAATTACGCGCGGATGTCACCTCAAGTCGGCTCTGTTGCTCATCGCCCACATGTCAAACAGCTCCCTGCGGCTGCAGGAGGTGTTGGACCCCACGAACAGGGCGAGGATGTCGCGCCGTCCGCCCCGGCCTGGCCGGCGGCTCGTGGAGTTGTGGGCGGTGGCGAACGGCACCACGACATCCAGCGGCCCGAGAGAGAGCCTCGGCTCGCAGTGGGCGCGGCACGAGCAGCCCGCCCGGCCTCGGCGTGCAGGCGGCGCAGACCTGCCGCCGAACCAGCGCCCCCAGCGCTCCGCGCCGGCGGTTGTGATCACGACCGCCTCGGGCCCGAGTCCGTTGCTGAAGAGGGGGACCTCGTCGCGCCCAAATGCCATGTTGACGAGCAGCAGGCGGCAGCGCGGCGCCCTCGCGAGGCAGGCCGACACGCCGGCGTGGCGGCGCATCGCGGGGAGCACCTCGCCGGCGAGGTAGTCCGAGTCCAACTCCCGCACCACCTGCTCGTGCAGCCGGTCGCCCTCGCCGTGGGCGGGCAGCGCGGAGGCGGAGGCGGCACCCATGATCTGGTAGCGCCGCTGCTTGCGCGCCAGGTACACGTTCATGGCGCAGTGCGGCACGTACACATAGTCGGCCTCCTCCGGCCCAGCCGCGGCGGTGCTGGGGACGCAGCGGAGCAGGAAGGCGCGAAACCAGCGCTCCAGGTGGTAGGCGTAGCCCCAGTCCTCGTCGCAGACTGGGCCCCAGAGGCCGAGGTCCGCCACGTGGACGCGCAGGGGGCGGCGCTGCAGCGAGGCCACCGCCGCCCAGAGCGCGGGCTTCCAGGCCGTCTGGGGCTCCGCAGCTGCGCGCCCCACCGCGGCGCCGCCAGCCATGCGCCCTCGCCGGGACCGGGCAGAGGGCCGCCGCCTCCAACGCCGGCGTCCACCATGGCGGCAAGCCGGGGGGGGGGGGGGCGTACGCCAGCACAGGCGGCACTGACGAGGAGACGGGCGCCTGCCCCCCGAATGCCTCGAGGGGCACGGGGCGGGGAGGGCTGCTGCAGATGAGGAGGGGCAAGGCGCGCCGACGACAGGTGGAAATCGACGAGGCCCACCACCGCGCAAGAAACTAGCAAGATAGTCAGGGGGCGCGTCTTCGAGCGAAAGTCGATGGTGCAAGGTGCCCCCAGCATCAGTGCCTCCTTGGGTCCCCCACGCACACTGACCTGAGAAGGCCAGGCCCCTCCGACGGGCATACCTGGCACAGCATGCCGTCAATCAGCGTGATGAATGTGCGGTCGGATCGCCTTCAGCACTTTGAAGTGCTTTGTCCTGTATTTCATTTACGATTTTGAGCGAGACGCTGGCACTTCGGGAGCTCCACTCGGAGTGCCGCTGAGGACGCTAGTCGGACGCCGATCGGTCAGAGTTCGGCTCCGCCAATGGATGCCGCTCTCCCCGTATGACCCTGACACAGGTCGATCGCCTGAGCCTGCAGGCTCTTCAGGTCCAGTCCGACACACAGGCCCTGGAGCACCTCCGGCTCTGGCACTCGAAAATTGTCGCGTGTAGCGGCAGGAGCTGGAGAAGGGCCTCCATATTGATGCCTCCTTGATCCTCGTCTTTCTCCAATGATATCGGGAGGGGGCCAGGCATCGAGGAATGGGCCTTGCGGAGGGGCGGAAACCAGCTGCATGCAACGGACTTCGTACCCCCCCCTTCACGCATCCTACCTTTTCATCCGTCTCCGGCAGCGTCGCCTTGAAACTGGCCGGCATTCTCATGTTCATCAATTTCAAACTGACCTCCTCAGTCGGCTGCGGCACCTGGAATGCCCAGCGTGGCAGGGCCGCGGGAGCCCTGCCGTGGCGCTCGAAAACTGGCGAGGGCCCTGTCGTGACAAATGCGCTAGAAGATTGCTCTTGAGCCGACGGCTACGGAAACTCGTATCATGATCCACTTGGGAAACCATGACTCCTGGGGCCAGACGCTGCGGACGCCGGACCCTCGACCACATGCTGCAGCATCGGCCTCGGACCCACATCGGCGTCACCATGCTGCAGGAAGCCTTGGGTCTGCCTTGGATCGGCACCAGCGAAACTGGCCAGGAGGGGGAACTGTGGGACACATCCTGCACGCAGTGCCAGTCCAGAGCAGGCGACCCAGACAGGGTCAGGGCACGACATCTGCACACAATGACCCCAGCACCTCTTCGACCAGCCTCAACTGGAGGGGCTGTGGCCCTTCATTACCGCCTGGAGGGGAACAATCGTATCGGCGATCTCCCGATGAGGTTGTCAAAGCTGAATGGGTTCGGGGGGAAGGAGAATCGCAGCTCCCCCAGGCTGTGGCTGACCTGCGCCGGGACCAGCGACGCCCCGCCTCGGCCACCCCGCCGGCTACAACGTGCATCGTCGGCACCCGTGTGCGCTTTTGCTCCCTCTGCGCGTGCGCGCCGCCTCCTGCCCCGGCCCGCGGGGCCGCCCGGCTGGCACGCCGCCAGCACGCGGCCTGCCAGGCCGCCAGCGCAGCGCCCGCCGCCGAGCACGCCCTCGCCCCCGAGGGCGCCCACGGCAGCGGCCGCGTCGCCCTCCTCGAGGCTCCGCCGAGCGGCGGCCTCCGCGGCGGGACGGCCGAGCCCCAGCGCCAGCAGCAGCGAGCCCTCGTGCCCGCGCTCGCCCCGCTGCTCGGCCTCGAGGAGCAGCCTCCCGTGGCTCAGCGCGTCCGGCCGCAGCCCCTCCGAGCGCATCTCGGACAGCAGGCGGAACGCCCGCGGCACGTCCCCCGCGTCGGCGCACGCCAGCAGCGCCGTGCTGTAGCCGACCCCCCCTGGCCCGAGGCCGCGGCGCCGTGCTTCGGAGAGGAGCTGCAGGACCCGGGCCCACTGCTCGCCCTTGCCACAGGCCCCCATGACGGCGTTGTAGCTGATCCCGTCCGCCTGCACCCTGCGCCGCCGCATCTGCCGCAGGAGCCACATGGCCTGGGGCCACAGGTGCGCCTTCTCGCAGGCGCTCGCCGTCGCGTTGTAGGCGATCGTGTCCGGCAGCGGGCCGCGCCTCGACATTTCGCCCAGCAGCCCGAGGGCCTCCGAAGGCCGCCAGCCCTTCTCGCAGGCGCTGATGCAAGTGTTGTAGGCGACGGTGTCGGGCTGCAGACGCCGACCGCGAACCTCGCCCAGCAGGCCCAGCGCCAGCTGCCAGTTGTGGCCCCTCTCGCAGGCACTGGCGGCAGCGCTGTATGCGACCACGCCCGGCTCGGGGCCGGCCCGCTCCATCTGCCGCAGCACCAGCAACGAGAACACCCACTGGTGCGCGCGCTCGCAGGCGGTGACGAGGGCCGTGTGGGTGATCACGTCGGGTCCGAGGCCCTCGCGCTCCGCCTGCGCCAGGAAGCCCAGGGCCCGGACCCACTGCCTGCTCCGGGAGCACGCGCTGATGAGCGCGTTGCAGGTGACGAGGGTCGGCTGGATCCTCCGCCTCGCCATCTCTGCGGGGAGGCCGAGGGCGATGGCGTGCCGACGTCCCCTCTCGCAGGCGGTGATGGTGGAGTTGTAGGTGATCGCGTTCGGCGTGAGCTCGCTCGCAGACATCTCGCCCAGCAGGTGCAGGGCCGAGGCCCACTGCTGGCCTCTGTCGCAGGCGTGGATGACTGCACCGTACGTGACCGCGCTGGGCTGCAGGGCCTGCCTCCGCATCCTCCCCAGGAGGGCCACGGCTGCCCCGGGATGCCTCTGCTTCGCGTGGCTGCCAACCAGCGCAGTGCAGCGCTTCAGCTCCATCGCCTCCCGGGGCCGGCATGAGGGCTCGCGGCCGCTGCGGCGACAAGGTCGGCGAAACAGAAGCGACGAGCCAAGAGGGAGCAGGCAGCGAAGAGCGAGAAAGAAGGCAGAGCCAGCGACAAGAAGGCGGCTGGCGTGGGATTATGGTGTCAGGAGACATGAGAGAGGAGGGGGGGCGGAAGAAAGGAGTGCCAACACTGCCGCTCCCCCTTCCAACTCGCCCTCATCCTACTTCACCTGCTCCTACTCGTCGTCGGCGTCGACCCCATCCTCATCCTCATCTTCCTCCTCCTGTTCACTGTTGTCCATCTCAAAGCCCCTCCCCCCGTAGCTCCCATCACCTAATCCCAATCACCCCCTAACATTATCCTCCCACTCCCCTGCAGTCGAGTCTACCCAAGTGCTTGCGTGGGAACACTTCGCGGCGCTCCCTTCGAGGCGTGCGCAGTCGGCCTCTCTGACAGGCGGGACGGCGTTCGCGGTGGCGCTCGCTGCGCCAACGCTGGCTCTGCAGCCAGGAGCGCCCCAGCAAGCCGCTCCGCCCTCTCCTCCAGCGCTCCCTCCCAGCACCCCCAGACCCGTCCCCGCGGCGCAGCCGACCTCCAGGCCCTTGAGGAATGGGAGCTCGGCCTCGCTGACCTTCTCCATGGCCGACTCGACCTGGTTGCGGGGCAGCGGGCGCGCATAGCTTTTGCTGAGAAGCCCAGACTGTGCACTGCATCTCTCCGCATCGCCTCCGGTCCCATCGTCGACGATGGTCGCTCGAGGCTGCTCTTTGGCCCGAAGAGCACCTGGGGGGCGAAATGCGTAGCCGCTTCCTCTCCTCGCTTGAGACTCGATCCGAAACAAGGGCAAGGGCATGAGCAGGAGAAGGTATGAGCAGAAGTAGCCCCACCGCCCCCAGAAGAGGGGAGGGGACGAGAAGGAGATCCGAGCGCCTCGCCGCTGAGCTCGAGCCGCCAAGGCACCCAGAGTGAACCCCAGTACAACACAAAAACAACATCCTTCGGTTCGCAAGAATATGCACCACCCACCTCCACTTCCCCTGCCTCCACCCCCCTCTCTCCCTTCTCTTCCCTCTCCCTCCTCCTCCTCCTCCCTCCAACCTCCTGAGCCCCGCACATCCTGCTTTCAAAAGTGTGATCGCTGTGTGTGTGATCGCTGTGGACAACAGGAGCCCCATTCCACCACAGGACCCGAACACAAACTGCATTTGCCGCCTTGCCATGGGGAGCGACGAGCCAGAACGTGAAACTGAGTTCCGCATTCTGGCAGTGCCTAAACATACACTGAGACACACCTCGCGGGCGTCTTCTGAATCAGCATCCAAAGCGGCGACGCCCAAAAGCACAAAGGTGGAAAAGGCCTGCACAGACGATTTACTGGAGCTGACGCATGAATGCGTTCTACCTTACGGTGGAAATCTACGTAAATATCAGCAGTAGGAGTGGTAGCAGGAGGGTGAAGAGGAGAGACGCAGAACGGGCGAGGGGAAGGTGGCGAACGATGCGAAGGGATCGCCCCGACGTCACAGTACCCCCGTACCCCCCAAAGACCGGACAATCGGCTCTCGCTTGATAAATCCTTTTGAGGAAACCGCCACGATGTGGCAATCGATCGAATAGACATCGGGCCCTGTACGGTGGCCTCATCGATCTTCTCCGTGCCCTCCTTCACGAAGCCTTCGCCGAGCACGCGCTCGCGCTGGTCCTTGGTGGCGGCGACCACCTGCGGCGGTCGGCTTCCCCGCGCGGGGAGGTCCGAAGGGATGGTACCGAAAGGGCACGCCTCACCGCCCTGCAGCCCTGCGTCGCGCAGGAGCAGGAGGATCGAGGAGGCTCGAGGGTCGAGGTGGACGGAGGGAGGCTCTTCGACGCCACGGCCGGATTCCCCGTGGACGTCCTGGCCAGGGGAGGCGCGAGGGGAGCGGAACGGGACGGCAGGGGCCGTTTCACGCCCAGCGCCAGCCGGCGCCTGCGCTCGGGCAGCAGTGGACGTGGGTCAGAGCACGATCGGAGGACGCGCATGCGAACTAGCACGGTGGGGGCATCGGATGAGGAACCCTTCGATAAGGAATTCAGGGTCTGGAGGCCAGTTGAACTCCAATCGGGGCTCGGCCGTGGATGTCACCGCCGAGCTCATCGGCAAAGGAACCCTCCAGGGTCTGCAGCCTCCTGGGCACGTTCCTGGACGAACACCCCCACCGTAGCGGGGCGCTGGGGAGGCAGAGGATGGGCAGACAGGCACTCGAGAGCAGCAACGGCACGTGCCAATGAGAGGAAGACCGCTTCTAGCTTTCAGGCAGGCACTTCCAAGCGTCCTCGCAAGACCGAGACAATCGGGAGCTTCTTAAACGACTCCTCCTGCAAGGACGCAGAGACCCTGTGCCAAGGGTTGATGGTGGCCAGCGCAGTGCGCATCAGCGCTGCATGACATGTGACGGGAATCGGTGGCAAAGAGGGCCCACCCCGCTCAGCTAGAGCGTTCTAGCCGATAGCTGGGAGAACACTTGCAGGGGCTTTCACAAGAGCAACGCCATCATGAGGGGCTCCTGCGAGGCGGCCCGCTGCGGAGGGAGGTGGAAAGGGTACGACCGGGATTTGTACCCCACGACTGAAAGCGATCCGGACTGGCACGGCGCAACAGTAGAGGCTAATCGGCAGGGGCCCTCACGATCACTTCCAGACGGCAAGGCCAACCCACCCACCCAAAAATGGGTGCGACTGGAACTCCAGGCAAGCCCCGGGACCCCATCGCGCAGCCAAGCCATGATATTTCAAAGCCATCTGCATCCTGAAAGCACCCCATCCAGGAATGCAGATCTCGAAGGTCTCACGAGCCCC